TTCCCCACAGGGCGCGGGAGGGTTTGATGGCTCGACCCACAGCAACAACGCCCCTCGCCCGGGTCGCCCAGGCTCTTTCTTGCCCTCTCCCTCCCATGGCTGCGGTGCTCGGCGCTCGTTCCTCCGCCCCTTCCACGCCGCCGGAGGAGCATGGCCGGGGAGGCGGGCGGCCGCGCTCCGGAGTGGAGGAGGCGCAGGGAGAGGATGCAGACATTGGAAGGCAGCCGCGATGATTGATGGTTTGGGCTGTTTTGTAATGGGAGGGGAAGGAGAGGAGGAGGAGGAGAAGGAGAAAAAGTCTGTGTAATCTTTCAGTGCGGAGGCCACCGGAGCCCGGAGCTGGGGCCGCCCGTCCCTGCATCGCTCCGCGGAGCCATGTGGGGCTTTTGATTTTTGATTTTTTTTCCAATTCTTTCTTTCGATTGATTTATTTTTCCCTTTTGTTTTTTCTCTTCCTCTCTTCCCTTCTCCTTTTTTTTTTTTTTTTTTTTTCCTTTTTAAACTCTTCTTCCAGGGAGAGGATAGTGGTTAAAGCTCGAGCTGGATGGATGGGTATGGGGAGAGGGGCAGGATCCACAGCCCTGGGACTTTTCCAAATCCTCCCTGTCTTTCTCTGCATCTTCCCTTCAGGTAAGGAACAGCCTCTTTATTTTGAAGAATTTTTTTCCTGTATTTCTCGCAGCCCTTGGATAGCCGCCTCGGTTCCCCCTGTCTCGGGGCCTCTTTCCCTCTCTTTGCAGCAGTTTGCCACATGTTTAAAAGAAGCAAGTGGGGCTCGGTTTCGGTGTGTCCCGTCCCCCCTTACTCCCTTTTCCCCAAGCAGTGGCGGTGGGTGTTTTTCCTTGACCTCATCTTCTTTGTCTCCCTGCTGCCTCATCGCACAAGGAAGGAGATGGTCGAAATCAAAGCAATCCCCGGCGAAGGCAGCCGGGGGTTCTTCTGACAGCGTCAGGCAGGTTACGTTGTTCTCCCGTCCCCGTGTGTGCTCTGCGCCTCGAAAAGAAGGGGCCGGGGGCGGGGGACGACCCCCCACATGAACACCCCAGATGCCCGATGTCTGCCCTTGAGTGCAGCGGGGGGGGGGGCGGCTCGCGCCCCCCCCC